CTTATCCCACAAATTATTGGCAGATTCCAAATACCTACCTTCTTAAGAAAAGAGTCAAACATGTACAAATAAATGATAGAGCATGCATTTTCATTCGTCTCAGCAATCTTAGCCTTATCATCAGTTTCAAGATACAATTCACTCACAGCCCTAAGAGCCTTTTGTTGAATTAACACACATTTGATCTTTTGTTTTCACATATCAAAATCATTTTTATCATCATAAGGAAACATATCACACTGGTTCAAAGAGATAGACATGATAGCAATCAAGCGGAACAATAAACAGATAACAAAGATAATCAAGCAAAGAGAGGCAAACAAACATATACAGACCAATGAACTAAGGGCTACAGTCATATTGGCCAGCAGGCTATCAGATCATACTGGTTGCATTATTAGAGTAGACGTTTAAACCCCTCGTAAAGATAGTGATTGAAAGCATTTCAAAGACCCCTAAAAATAAAAAATCTACTATTAATTAATAAGACATGAAACTGCTCATTTATAAGCTCAAAGAACAAATTGAAATTTGAAACATCTACTATAACTTAATTCTAGTGGGAGCCATGAAAAGATAACAATATCATGTATCCTAATCATGAAAGATATAAAAAAAATCAACCCAATCTCGTGAACCAGGAACCCATGTAATCTGATTTATTATTTCTCAAGCATGACTTCTTGCATTATTTCTCACAGAAATGATCAGCGGCACAAATCACATTGCATAGGCTTTTTAGCAGAATCCACGTTAGTGTTTTTAACGACCCTAGCAAATCTAGTCTGACCATAATTGTTTGGTGATGGTGGAAGACAGAAAGTGAAATCTTACGACTTGGATGAAGAAGACGGGGAAGATCTAAATATAAGATCAAACTAACAGTATACCGACCTTGTGCATAAAGATTGTTGTACATGTATGTATATAATCATCAACAAAAACACAAAAGGATACTTATTAAGAGAAAGAACTCCACTTTTAGAGTAAAAGAACATGTATATGCACTAAACTAAACTGTACTGATCTATAAATTTACTCCTTGAACTAAACTTTTGGTTATATTCCATTACTCTAATTGAAGGACTGACTAAAAAATGGAGATTTTTTCAATTCTTGCTATTATAATACTCAAATCATATCTTGTAAACAAAGTAGTCCTATTAGTACGATGTATAGAAAAAATGTAATATTAGTGTCCTCAAATCACAGCCCAAAAAGATTGATTTACTAAATTAAACTGTACAGATCTGTAATTTTATTCCTTGAACTAAACTATTGGTTATATTCCATTATTCTAATTGAAGGACTAACTTAAAATGGATATTTTTTCACTTCTTGCTATTACTCAAATCATATATTGGAAAGAAAGCACAGTTTATGCAGAAGAAAAATGCAAACAAACATTTGATATAATCATTTTTTCTGACTGAAATTGCAACATGTTTTATACTAAAAAGTGCAATTTTCACTACTTATTATCTTAGATACAAAAACAGATTTTATCACTATGGTTTTTCAATTGATAGCTTCTCATCAACTAATACCAATTCATATAATTACCTTTGGATGGAAATGGGTGGCTTTGAATAGTGAATTGGTTGAAGCTATCTTATTTCCCTGGCGTCGAACACGTTGGTGGCACCGGAGAATGTGGAGCCATGTTTAATTACGGCAAATACCTACTTGAGCCCCTTGCAGCGACGGAAGCACAGAATGATGGAAAACACTTCGTAGTGACGGAAGGAAAAGGTTCAGTGTAAAGAAGATGGAAAGAAAGAGAAAAAAATGAAGATCATAAAAAGTTTGCAGTGACGGAGCAGAGAAAGGTGGAGAAGATTGTGATGGAAGGAAAAAGTTATGTGGAAAGAAGATCGGAAGGAATCGTTCAAAAAAAAAGATCAGAAGGAAGAGGAAGGAAATGAAACGAAAGGTCCAAATAAATTTGTATTGCTATTAAGTATAAGGATTTCAAGAAAAAGTACTCATAAACATGAAAAACAAGAGTACTAAAAAGAGATAAATGTACCAAAACAAAGAAAAGAGGTACGAAAAGAGTCAACTGAATCCCTTTAAGAAATCTCAACGAGTAGCCTACTGGTGATTCCCAGAAAATCAGCAGCATACTGAATCCTTACGGAACTCAAGACCGCTGGCTCAGACCAAGTTGTTCATCTTGAAATTCTCTACAAATGTCTCTCTTACAGCTAAGTCAAAATTCTCAAAGAACTAGTCGTAGGTCCCACAGTAAAATGCGAAGTAAATAAAAGCTAGGTAAAATTATGTTGAACGAAGAAAACACATTTGCAACTTGATTGTATTATTAAACTTCGCAGGATAAAAAGAAAGATGTCATTTCTTTCAAGGGACCCAAGTACGAAAAAGGCATTACAAGTGGGCTTAAGACTTTACCTAAAATTATGTGAGTTAAATACAGCTCACTTAATCCATGCTTCTTGATTCATGCAAATATCAGCATGGGCTCGAACAAAAGAACAAAAAGAGACTCAGGCTACGCCTAGTCAATACAAAGAGGGAGCATGCCGAAGTCAGAAGATCAAGTGGATTAATCAACGTCCGAGATTGAATCTCCTTTGCCAACAGAATATATTCAGCACCAGAAGTCTATAAATACAGAAGGAATGTGACACAGAAGAAGCAACAAGCTCAGTGCAAACAACACAAGAATATAGAAAGATCTAGCAAAAGAGAAAGTGTTAATTTATCACTTCACTCTTAGCCCGTTCAAATTTCTTTAAGCTCTTAGACTAGTTCACTCAGAAAAATCATTCTAGATCTTAGAATAGTTGGAAAAGTTATTGTAACACCTTTGGAAAGTTTTGTGAACAAATCTAAAAAGTGAGTAGAATAGGACATGAGTAACTTTTGAATCATCTCGGTTCATTAGTGAAAAACCTAAAGGTTAGGACTGGGTAGTTTTTGAATCACATTGGTTCATCAATGAAGCACTTAAAGACAAGAGTAACTTGGAGTGGGTTGTACTCTTTGTGAAAACCTGACAGTTTATGCCTATGATCAAGGATAAACTAGTCATTAAGTGTATTGGTTTAATAGCTTAGTGGGAATCCATCTGAAAGAGGATGAGACTGGACGTAAGAGGATTGCAACACCTCTGAACCAGGATATATCATTGCGTCATCATTTTAAGCTATACAAATCACACACTAAGTCTTACAACTAGCTGCATTAATACAAACCTAGTTTGTATACTCAGCTTAAGTTGAATAGTCTTCTCCACTTTTGAAACATGTCCTAAACAAATCCCAAAACTCCTTCTCATATGACCATACCATAACCCTCCGTGAAGACCAAAACAAAAGAAAAGGAAAATCACTCTTAAGCAGAAACAGCTCTCTCAAAATTGACTTTACAGTTGCCTACTGAATTCATGGTTATGACAGCTGTTTAACCTACTGCTAAGTCCTGAAACGCGACTTGATCTCATAGACTCTCTACCTCTTAATACTTCATCACACAAAATCCCAAGATCACCTTGTGTCCAATTACTATATATACAGAAAGTCTCTACTTCTATATATAGGAAGTGTGTTCATTTACTCTAGCTCATAAAAAGTCTAAACTTCCGTTGCTGATTCTAAACCTCTCAAAAGGTTTAAAAATAAACTCTCAAAGAGGGAAAGAGACTCAAAACCGAAAAAAGTTTAAAAGTCTATTCACCCCCCTCCCCCCCCCCCCCCCCCCTCCTCTACACTTCCACCGGGAAGGGTCCGAAATGGTCTCGGTCGAACGGCGGTTCCTGTCAGACTGGTTGGACGGGAACAACTCTCTCTCTCTCTCTCTCTCTCTCTCTCTCTCTCTCTCTCTCTCTCTCTCTCTCTCTCTCTCTCTCTCTCTCTCTCTCTCTCTCTCTCTCTCTCTCTCTCTCTCTCTCTCTCTCGAGTTCAAGCCCAAATTATTACCACGCTCAAGCTCGAACATATCTATGTTCGAACTTGGCTCATCACAGCTCGTTTGCACCTAGGCATAAGTCTCTATCTTTTAATTTGTAAGCATGCTTGGTAGACATAACTCCCTTCTTTTTAGCTTTTGTATTATTCAAAAAGTTATTAAAAGTTTGTAGTTGTATGTTTGACAGGACAATTCTAAGAGCTTTTAGGTATGTTTGGCACAACTAACTAACTAAAAAGATATTTTTATGAGCGTTTTAGTAACTGGTACTCCCTCCACCCCGCTAAGATTGTCCCATTTTACCTTTTTGGTGTGTCCCACTAAGATAGTATCATATCAAATTTGGTAAAGTTTGTGTGGCTCCAAATCATACTCACTTCATTTTTACTTTATCAATTCAATATCAACCACATAAATAACTTTTTGTATTGGTTTGCATGTCACTCCATCTTATCCCAATTTAGTGGGACGAATGAAGTAGCTTTTAATGAAACGGTCAAAACTTAAGAGTTAAAACAATTTGTATATCAAACATAACTAAATTAAACAGTCAGCTTCTTATCAAGCATCTACTGCTTATTTTTTAAAGTTCTTTTCAGTCACTAAAAGTTAAGAGTTACTAAAAATCTCAAAAAACACTTTTTTAGCTAGTTGTGCGAGACATACCCTTCTATACTATATAAAGAGACTCTAAAAGTTCATAGCTGTATGTTTGGCACAACAAGTTTTAAGAGTTTTTCTAAAAATTAAGATACTTTTTGAGAAACTACACTTTTAGTCATCCGATTAAGAGTTGTTGCCACTTTTAGAGCCCGTATAGTGATCATGTTTTTCGGCTTATCAGACTTATTAGCCAAATTTAGTTTTTCACTAAACACATAACTTTTGATTTTGCATGCTAAATTGTGTAACAATAAGAAAAAGTAAAATTAGAGTTATTTTTCTAACTATATAGTCTATATTAGCTGAAGTTACCGTACATGATCATTTTAACTATTTTTTCATATAATTTTTTGTTTACTTAATTAATAAAACATTTCACCCCTTAAATTAGCAGAACTGCATATACTGTTTTTCTTTAACCCTTTCGTTGGTAACCGCCCTCAAACTAAACACAGGTTTTATAGTCTCACAGACTCACGGTGCATCCGCATGAAGCATGATAGCGTCTGGCATAGATGATAGAACTGCAGAATTGAAACCAACCGTCGGTTTGTTTGCATGGCATTCAAATAATGAATGGCTCAGAGCCCTAAAAGATTAATAATGTTGTAAGGGATACACGCACTCCAAACTCCAGAAGAATCCAATATACCTGACGACGCTGTGTGTTGCTTTTTTATATTCATGGACCCTGAATTTCGTAGGATCGTGTATGGTTTCTATGATTTATCTGTGTGGCTTAAGGTGTGAGTTTTGTAGCTTCCTGAGTTTGAATTTTGGGTCGAAGGGCCGATTCATGAGAATGTTGGCTTCTTCTTCTGCTGCTCCACATTCACAGAAAGACCTCGAGGAGGAGCTCATAGATTACGGTGTTAGGCTTTTCCCACTCCCTTCTTCTAATGATGAGCTTCTCAGCATCCTTGATGTAAGGCTTTAATTTTCATATATTCTGCCCGCTCAGGTTCAACTTGTTGTTTTGTTTTCTGTTTGAAGTCCAATTATTCAACTTTGGTCGTTTAGATGGGCACTTGAAATGCGTTTAAACAGAGCATTGGTCGTTGACTCGTTGGATATACTTTTACATTTAACACCCTCAGTTAATTCTTTGAGTTTATTTTGAGCTAAGTAAAACTGCAGCATTCTAGGTATCCTTTGTTCAGCATTAATTGAGAAAGTGTTTGATGATGTTACCATCTTTGAACTTGGTTTTATTTGTGTGACTCACTTGCCCATTGCATTACTAACACGTCATTTACAGTGTAGTTTCAATTTGACTTCTTAATCCATTCTCATCTGGTTATAGAAAGTGGAAACCTTGCTAGTCCGCGTAGCTCAAGCCCCTTCTGAGACCACGAAGATGGCACTCCATCCAATAATGAAAGCATTGATTGGTTCAGAGCTTTTGGCACATTCTGTTGAAGACGTAAACGTTTCTATTGTATTGTGTCTCAGTGAAATAATGAGAATAACTGCACCACAACAACCATATGATGATGATGTAATGAAGGAAATTTTTAAGCACATTGTAGAGTCATTTCAAAAGCTATCCCATGTGAAGAGTCAGTGCTATTCAAAGGCTGTGCAAATTCTTAGCAATGTTTCAAAGGTCAGGGCATGTGTGATGCTTTTGGACCTTGACTGCACCACCTTAGTTACTGACATGTTCAAACTGTTTCTCAGAATCGTCAGGTAAACCTTCAATGAGCTCAGAATCGTCTGACCAAAACTTATATTCTTTTCAACAACAACATCCAAGCCTTAGTCCCAAAAGATATTGGGGTCGGCTAACATGAATCGATACATGATATCACAACCAAAAGGAAAAGAAAGAAAATAAAGATTCACGCACTACTCTCAATTTCCTATCATTTTGTTTACATTTTGTAGTTTCTTTCAAGCTCAAGCACAGGTCTTTGTGCAGATGCTAATTACCTTGTTATTTGTCAGTGGTGATTCCATTGGTGATGTTCACTATTCTGGTTCTAAATGGGTTGTTGGGGGCAACCTAAAAAAGTGTTAACATCCTGTTTCGATGTTTGTGCTTTATATACTACATATATCAATATGTCCAAATGCATATTCCCCTAGTTTTTTAAATTGCTCAACAATTTCATGGTACCAGCTCTTCTGGATGGAATCATACAATTATTATAATTCTGCATTATTGTTCTCCTTGAGATATCCTCTGAAGTTATTGTAATGTTCGACTCAAGGTCCTACCACTCAAGCGATGTATTAAAAAACATGGAGGACATCATGACTTGGATAATCAACGAATGTGATGAAGTCTCTGGAGAACTTTTAATGCCCCTTCTTCATAGCATCAAGAATGAAAATCAGGCAATGAAGCTTTAGTTTTACCCTTTTAACTGTCTTGTTTCAAATTTATTTCTTAAGCCTTAACTCTGCCTGTTTCGATCTCCAGAAAGCTTCAACTTTTTCATGGAAGTTGGGACAGAATGTTTTGAAAAAATGTTCTGCCATAGTTAGACCTTATGTAGTAGAAGCAGTAAAATCAATGAGCTTGGATGTTGGTGATTATGCTGGTATACTTGCCTCAATATGCCATGAAGTGACTGATGGGGAAAACCTGGTGTGTTTTGTTTATTGCTTTGCATTTCTTACTAACATGTGCCATTTATGCTCCCTCATGGATTGAGTTATTATATTCTATTCTTATTGTTTGACAAGCCTGATATGTTTGCCCTTTATCCAAATTGCCGTGGTTTACAGTAATATTGTTATAGTGCAAAACAGAACCCCAAAACCATGTTTATAAGCTTGATGTGGTTTAATTGTGACCCCAAAACAGTAATATTTGTGATGATTTGATATGTTTAAATGTCATCACAACCATATTCTTAGACATCTCACTTTTAATAGGCTCACATAATATTTCTATTATAGCTGGGGCATGTTCCAACACTACTTTACTACTTCACACAGTATATGCAAGTTTGTTCTGTCTCAACACTAAAATGATAAGATGGTCACACACTGCAATATAAGGAGCATGGTTAGATGCACAAATTTGCACATATACTTGAACATCGATACATACGATGTGTGTGTTTCTATTTGGTTATAGAACTGCCATGGGATGTATGTCAGTGCTTTCAATATTCTGTGAAACCTGATGGTAATAGAAAATAATGGTCAAGCTTTTCCCCCTTACTATATCTGCTGCCCCCTTTCTTCAATATCAAAATAAGCTTTACTACTGAGTTCATAAATATTTGTGTTTTGTCTATTACCTTTATCTTGGGTAAGTCTACTGTTTTATCATGAGGGATTTATTCGAGTTCAACTGGATCTAAAAGGGAAAAAGAGAAAAAAAGTATAAGAAACTGTGCATATGATGTAATTTATGAAAATTGAAATATATTTCTTGTTTATAAACCAGAGGAAACAACCGGTAGTAGCACTATCTTGGAAAGTTGGAATGTTCAAGCTTCTTGTCTAAAAACCTGACAAGACAACCTGCAGCGGCGCCTGAAATAGAATGATCACTTACATGAAAAATCATTTATAAATACATACACTTTTCTTGTAAAATATTTTATTAAGATGTTGACCCTTAGTTATCTGTTGTTCGTCTTCTAATGGCAACAACATATACTTCATATTTTTTGGTGCGATCAGATCGAAAATGAAAACACACCTCTTGGTGCATGCTCTGTAAGAGTAGTATCCAATGTTCTACCCCCTTTGGAATTGCAACAGGAAGCCAGTCCAACAATGATAACTACAGGTAAGAGAAGCCAGGAATCTGAAAACCGACCCAAGACATTACCGAGTTGTGATCAAACTGACCATAAAAAAGATAATGATAGCCCAATAGATCTCCAACAGCATAATTTAGAAGAAATGCAACCAGAAACAAAGCTGAGTACACGTCCTAGGAGAAAGGGTGGGAAATCCTTGAGACAACATGGCAACAACAGTGATCATTGTAAAATCAATGGTAAAAAAAGATTACTTCTAATTACCTCATGAAATGAAGGACCACAAATGAAATTTGTAGCTTTTCTCATGATGCAGTTTCAGAGGAGTCAAACTTGCTATTAGAAGAAGACTGTAAGCAGACCACCCCTGTTATGCTTTCACCTGAAAATAAAGATTCTTCTCTCCCGGTCTCATCAACACATATTAGAAATGGCGATGTAACCTTACAGAAAAAGGAGCGACTAAAGAAAAACCAGGTGGGTCTTTCCTCAGAAAAAGGATCTGAAGAAACTACTATCAAGGCAGAACCCAAAAGGAGCTCAAGAAAGAAAGAGCCAACTGCCCGGTATAATGGTGAGAAGTCTCTTGGCACAAAAGTTGTTACTGAAAAAGGAGGAGATACTAGTTCGGGTATGTCATTACTTCACAAAAATGATCACCTCTCAAAGAAGGCTGTCAAAACTAATTCCTTGGGCAAGGAAACCTTGAGCAATAAAGAGGTACCTTTTGGCTGCATCTTTACAGCTAGCTAAGTATACATACATTAACTTGCGTCATGCCATCAAAATGATTTATATAGATATGATTATGTACTGGTGCAAAGTGTTGCATCAAAAACTTTCTCACAGTATATAGTTATGGAAAAATTGAACACAGCTTCTTTGGCCTCCAAAATTACCTTATCTGTTTCAACTTTAATAACTTGTATGAACATAATCTATAGGTGGCTCAGAGAAACACATTATAACTCAGCTTTGAGAATTGTGTCTTATCGTATTTGCTGATATAATATTATTTGCTCCTAGCATTATTTGCCTCAGAGTAAGCTCAGAAACCTAATCAAATTTTAGGCTTTAAATTTCTCCAGAATAGTGCGATGATTGCTGTAACCAAGGTGGAACATGGTGAAGCATTGGTTGGTGTAAGGATCAAAGTTTGGTGGCCACTAGACCGTCGGTAAGTGCTTTAGATACATGTCATGTCCGAGTGGAATCTGGCCTAAGCAAATTCTGTTAATTGATAGGCATAGGCAGAACTTTCTTCAATTTCTATCACCTTGGTTCTTATTGGCCTCCTGGACTTGTATGAGCTTGACCTCTAAGCGCAAGTTAACCAATCTACTGTGAAATTGTGAATATAGGATGCATATGCTTGATCAATAAACTTCGCTTTTGATTTGTTCTGTTTAAAACTATTGAGGCATTTAAAATTTGTGATTAATATGAAAACATTGATGAATTTGTGATCCCGTGTTGAGGTATTTATAATTTCTTGAAGATAGAAGTCAGAACAGTATTTGCTATATACGTATTATAATATTGTGTTCATCACTTCATTGCTTTTCCCTGGCAGGTTTTATGATGGAAAGATAGCATCTTTTGATCATGTGAAGAAAAAGCACAAGGTATGATAATATGCTGTTAATATTTTACTGCACATTTTCTTCTGTACTTAGAATGAATGATCTTCCTATTTTGGGGGGTCCAAGTATAAATGTCTATTCTTCAAATTTTTATTTTTCTTGTTTGTACAAAAGAAGGAAAGAGCTACTTGTTTGGGTGAGGGGCCTTGTGGCCTTGCCCCCCCACATGACCATTAAAAAAACAATTTTATTATGTAAAGTATCCCCACTTAAAAAGCAATCCCTCTGTCAGTCTGTCCTGATATTACCCACACTTTGACTGCACATACTTTAAGGAGTCAATGGTTTTGCTTTTGATTTCCAAATTTATCCTTGGGAAATGGGGTTGAAAATGGTGCCAGTGTGCTAAATTGATTTCCTTCATAATTTCATTGCACAAACGCCAGCCATTCATGACTCACCACCATACATAAATAGACATTGTTAGCCTGTCATTACACTTTTTCACTTTGCAAAAGTGAGTGTAAAAATACAAGCTCTAAAACTGTGATAATGGATGAGTTAGACATAAATTACAAAATCATCTAATTAGACTTCTCCATTTATCAGAGAACACTAAATATGGGGAAATGCGAAGACGACTTGCATTTTCTACCGTATGTCTGTTTGGATTTGTGTTTTCCAACCAAACACTGACAAAAACTACAAACACATCATTCACATTGAACAATATTATTCCGTAAAGTTATTTACCCCATATATAACTAAAACTTTCATCCTTATCCCACACTATTTTACATTTATTCATTCAATTAATTTTTGACATTATTCATCATTACTCTTTGGCTTGAGATTATGATAGAATAAAGCAAAATGTCTCACTAAACTGTCTGCGCTTCTTTGTTATGGAGCAGCAGTCAGTCCATGCAATTTTGGACGCGATTTTCACTATGGGTCATCCGGAAACAGTCTCTCCCTGCTTTAGTACAGGGGTAAGACTGCGTACATCCGACCCCCCCTTACCTCACCATAGGTGGGAGCCTTTGCGGCACTGGAGTAAATGAAAATGAAATGATGATTCATCATTACTCTTTGATGCTCTTTTAGTAACATTATATATTTTCATGATTTGAATAATTTCTCTCAAGTAATATTTGTTAATTAATTCACTTATACTTCACCCAAATGTATAATTGACACACTACGTACTATACTTATGGAATGGATTTTGTGTGTTTAAGAAAGTACTCCCTCTGGCCTATTTCAAGGTTATCTCCATTTGGTTTACATGGTTGACCAATGATAAAATAAACTCTTTTAATAATTAAAACGTACACTCAGAAGTTACGCTAAATCACAAAAAATAAATTTGAAAACAATTAAAACTTATTCTATAAAATTAAAGATTAAAATAGAGTTAAGTTGACCGTGTGAATAATGTATGAGAACTTAGAGTGGGACAGAAGGGCTACTTTTCAGACCATTTTTATAATATTTAATTATTTACACTAGTCAAAGAGTCTAACTCATTTTTCCCACAACCAAGCTCAATTCTAATCTTTTAATTCTCCAGCATTATTATTTATTACTATGACTGTTTGGCAATTAATTAAAAGTCTGCTTTTTACTGTAGTAAAAATAGTTTGAAGCAGAGCAGTGTTACAAATTAAGTAATTATTTCAGATATCATTTACTTACATTTGGAAGTCTACTGCCTGTAGTAGGCTGAGAACATTCTACTACAGGCAACTTACTATGGATCCTGTGATACTTTAGGAACATGGGACATCATAGTTTCCCTAGTAAAAAGTATGTGGATTTTTTCAGCAACCAATAAGTCCACTGGAAGGGAGCTTACTTTGGTTTGGCATCTTGTGGTTTTGATGTAAAATCTGTTATCATTTTATAGGTTTTGTATGATGATGGTGAAGAAGAAATCTTGAATCTTGGTAGGCAACGCTGGGAAGTGATTAAGGAGACCCCTCTTGATAAAGTAGGTTATATATTCTGATTGTCTATTTGTCCATTTTTAAATCACGTCTTTAATCTTTTGTTATTTATGTTAGTTGCTACATCCGAAACGTAATTTATATGGTTCACAGGACCGTGATGCAGATCCTCCCGTAACTCCTATTGTATCAGCCATGTAAGCGTTGTTCATAAGTTTATGTAAACTCTGTGATGTCCTCCTAGTTGCTCCCTTATATTTTTTGCAGTTACTTACTGCCTCCTTTTTTGCATCGACACCTTCTCTCTTTTAAGCTCACATGCATGGAAACCATGGGGGAGCTAGCATTTAACACATTAGGAAATGTTTTATGAATCTCTAGGAAACTTTATGGAAAGTTTTCGAAAAACTGTTTTCAAAATTAGAAAATGGGTTTTCCATGTGCCTTGTTTTATGTTTCCCGTTTCTGTTCGCCACAACGTTGCTTGTAAGTATTGGATGGTTTTTGTATTACCTTACATCTGGTTTTGGAACGGTGAGTTGATCAGGGAAGAGAGCAAGAAAATAAAAGGTAACTCTTCAAGAAAACAAAAAAGACTCACCAGCATTTCAGAGACAAAAAGGTGGGTTGGTCTAGCGAGAGGTGTTTTAAGTGTTTGGTTCATGTACTCTACCAAGGGTGAATGAAATGACTCATTGGTTTTCAGGTCTAGATGCAAAGTACAGCCATTCCTTGCAGAGAATGCTGAACGGAGCAATACAACAATGCAAGATGTGAAGCAGGGTGACAAGCAGAACAATCCTCCAGTCGAGGAGTAGGGCGGAACCTCTATGGAACTTTTGGTTTGAAGGCCAACTTTCTCAAAGCGAAGTAGGGGGGAATAGGTGAAAATATGTACCTAAACTCGTTCCACAATACAAGTATGCATGTAGTTGCTGGGATTACGTGTAGCTTAATTTGTTTGATTGTAGCTTAATAAACCTGGACTTTGGGGCACTTAAGTTTCATGTTTCAAATTAGGGGCATACGCAGTCCGATTCTTGAGGCTCAAAGGCAGACTGGAATTGTCATGGTGCTCAAGTTATGAGTCGGGGTTTTGTAAAGGTTGGGCCATGGACTTGATCGTTTTTTGGATCAAATTTTAATGTGGGGAATCTAATTTCCATCACTTTTTGAATGAATCTACAGAAACATAAATGACCCTGTTTAAACTAAACTATTCAAGCGCTCATTTCAAATGGAGGGTTATTATTTTATCAAAAAAATATGGAGGGTTATCCCAAGTTGCAACAATGCAAAAAATTACATCAAAATAAACAATTTGCGATACCAATTCCGTTTTCTCAACTTTTCTGATTATTATCACAAGCAAAGAATAAGTAAAAATAACAATTGATTTAATAATAATACGGAGTAATAATAATAAAGTCATTACTACTTTGAAACAGCAAGAACAATGGAAAAATAATTATTATATTTACTAGCATTAGTAATTGAAAAGTTAAGAATATATTACAAAGTGAGGATGACGGTCATAACTCATAACAATAACAACACCAATAATAAGGATTAAGGAACAATAACTTGTATCAATATCAATGGAAATAGTACGCCTAATGGATACGTATAAAAATAATTACTACGTATTATATTTACTAGCATTAGTAATATTTATTGAAAATAAGCTTGAGCAATAACGATGCTTTCCATTTGATTGAAGTATTTTTATTATATAGTTTGACTTGATTGATTTTAATTTAAAGGTGCAGAAGATGCCACCACCATGCCCTTAATTGCTCACTTGGGTTGGAGTTGAAAAGGATTAATTAATTTATTTAGTTAACAAAGCCATAATTGCTTACTCCTACCTCCATTAATGGAGCCTGGAGGCGAGCCACTTTATGACGTGGGCACCTATCTCAAGTTGAAAAGCTTTAGAAAAGTCATAATTGCTCACTCAATGTAACATGTGCACGTGGTGACCCTCAATTCTTTTTTATTAGCCAAAATTGAGTCACTACTCCCTCCGTCCCTAAATAAAAGCATTTGTTTACTTTTCGGACCGTCCCTAAATAAAAGTTCCCTTTCCTTTTTTGGCAAACAAAACAGTGCCAAACAGTGCCAAACAGTGTCCAAACAATGCTAAACAGTACCAATCAATCCCACTTTCTTAAAATGTGTGGAAAACGAGTGGATACTTTTATATAGGGACGGAGGGAGTATATAACTAGTGGCGTACATCATCTTTCTTTTTTCGAATGTATTTATTAATTTGGACCAATTTTTTGAAATTGATGAATTGTTGCAACACACCAAAAATACGGAACCGACATGCTACCAAATCAGATTGGTGGGGTATCACGCCGAAAAATGAAATTTGAAATGAATCTCACATTTTTTTACTCGAATCGTATTGGTTCTCATAAAATGAAAATCAATATCTGATCAAATCTGACCCAAGTCTGGTTTAAGCGTACATGTGTATCATTGTGTGGATTTATGCTTTGTGATTTATCTTTCGTACATATCAATTTACATCTCAGATTAAGTAAACATAAACGTACATATCAAATATATTAATGTTTTTTATTTATGTTTTATACTACTATAGTTCATTTGAAATTCATTAATTATGTAATACGAAAATTGATAAATTGTGTGAATTTTTGGAGGTTGACTAAATTTTAATATTCCTTTAAACTATTGAATAAAATGGCATTGTTTGATATTGGTATACCATGATACCGTCTCGTTTGAAAAATAGAACCGCACCGAACAGGTTTAGGTCTAAGACCAAACCAAACCAGACTGTTTCAATAGTCACAATACGGGTTCCACAAAATATTGGACCGTCACGATATTCCAGACCAAACCAAACCGGACTGAATTTACCGTTTCAAATTACATAGTTTTCCTGAATAAAAGTAAAAACGTTTTGAAATTCCAAAATAGGACCTTCATATTTTTATTCCCTAAATAAGAGTACTTTCTACTAAGTTTGGAAAAAAATTGGCAAACACTGCCCAATGTTTAAGGCCTGATAATATCAAACTTGATCGAAATTACTCCTATTTAGGAATAAAATACATGACAATCTTATAAAAAACATGACACTTCTATTTTGGAATTTTCCCGAGCATAATGTGGAGCCCTAAAAATCAATTCATCATGAAAAGAAAAAGAGTGAAAGGTTAATTTAGCGACTTCCCCATGCATGTCCCATAATATTCCTATGTTTCAAAACTTTCTTGTGCATTTTTTTAATGAATGGTTTGCGTAGTTCACACTATCATTTTTTTATAAATCAAACACAATCATATATTCCCAATTTATTATTAAACATATCAATTCAAAGTGAGAAAATGGATTTGGGAGGAAAGTAGTACGGAGTATTTCTTATGTGTCTATAATCACACGTCATGTATGCACTATGTACTGTCCATACTTTTGCATCGGAAATGGTCTAAAATTTGTATTACTCCTTAACATTTAAAGTTGAGATATTACCCGAAATAAGACTAAAATAGTTTGAAAATTCTAAAATATGACTGCCATGTTTTTATTCCCAAAATAGGACTAATTAATGTCATGTTTTGGCAGTACCAGACTTCAAACATTGCAGTATTTTCTAAACATGTCAATAATTAGTCCTATTTTGGAAAAAAAACATGACAGTCCTATTTTGAAATTTTGAAATTGTTTTAGTCTTATTTTAGGTATTATGACTCATAAACTACGTAGCATAATAAAACTTCTCCTGACGCACAAGAACTGAATTTGACTCATAGTTAGAGAATAAAGAAAGTATGTCAATCAAAATAATAAACTTGCAAAGTATTCCTTATTATTCCGTTTTATTAATACCTCCATCCCACTAAGATTGAGATAGGAGAAGGTGACACGATTATTAAGAAAAATGAGTTTGTGTGGTTGATATTAAATTGATAAAGTGAAATTAAAGTAAAAATGATTTAGAACCACATGAACTTTACCAATTTTGGTATGAGACAATCTTAGTGTAATTTTCCGAAATGGTAAAATGGGACAATCTTAGCGGGACGGAGGGAGTATTAAAGAATAATAATCTCTCAAGTAATCCTTGACCTTAGGTATCCACGTGATTTCTCCATTTCGAACGAACAGTTAGATCTCCCATAAAGAAAGACTAGGAAATCTCTTCGTAAGGAAATAAACTGGTAATACTGAATTTAGGAAGCTGATCTATGAATTATGAAGGAGCAGAATGTATTTTTACTAGTTCTAAACTAGTTTCTCAATCACAATGAAGTCTTTCTCATTAATGAGTTCTAGTCCTAACAGGACCAATAAATGTTAATGATTCAATTAACTAAATAAAATAAAACTAACTCACAATAAGAGTAAGTGGGTTGTACGTACGTACACCACTTCCACTCATGATCATTTTGTTTTATTTTTTATTTTCTTTTTAATTCTAAATTATAAAGAAAAATACCAACCTCATTTAAGTAAAAATACATCTTAATTAAGTATAATAAATCTAATTTATCACACTTAATTAATTCTATCAAATAGAACTCCACTTCAACATCATGAATTAAATATAGTTTAATCTAACTGATATTTAATCCATTTTCAGTATTACGAATGAGATATTATTTAATCTAATTAATAATATTTAATTCTTTCTAACAATTCAATCGGAAGGAATAATCATTTGTTGTGTGACCCATAGGGCCTTATATATTAAGCACTAATCAAATTAAGGTCTTAGTAGAAACACTAAGTCTTTCATACTCCCCGTAATATAGAGCTCATAGTGATACGATCCTTTCATTCAATGAACATTCAACTAAGTCTAGAATATGATATTTTGTCTATTCCAACAACTTAGTTTCTATCTCTCAATCTTTCTAGATGATCCACAATGATCATATTCGATATCCATAACAGATATATCTTTGCATTGGTCAATGACTTTATGATCCATCTAGATTGAGAAGTAGAATGTTCTCTTTTAATCTATTACGAGGAATGAATCCTTTCTTGACTCAACTACTACTCCATGTGGTTCGTGATGCACCCAACACATGTCGTATCTACCCCGATTGGAGTGCAAGCGTTGGTCATGGTCAAAGTACATCACTCCGCACATGTAGTACGTATTGACCTCAAGTCGGAGAACTATTACACTACTCTATACACCGATAATCCCATACACACATGAATAGAACTTATCAAATGGTTTCTCGGTGGGATGCCAATATTCTCTAAAATATCTATGTGACCATCATGAATTACAGGAACTCATAGTTGTGAGATCAACTATACTTTTTAAAAGTATGATTCAGTCCACATACCAATCTTATCGCATATCATCAATATCCCGTGCTTGATAATCATTGATTGGGATTATTTTAGGACCTTATGTTATACGGAGTATCATATAAGCTCTAACTTACTTATTGACAACATAAGTCCAAGGGAACACAATTATGAATAAGATATTGACAATCGAAATACTTAATCATCAATGTGTAATATTGTATATATCAAATATATAAAACTGAATGTGATCAAGTACATATATCTCTAAAAAGTGATTGTCACTAGGACATATACTAACAGTCCCATAATATTCCTCTGGATATTCTTTTGGGATGTTTCAAAACTTTTTTCTTCGTGTTTTTTAATGAATGATTTGTGTAGTTCACACTCTATCATTTTTTATAAATCAAACACAATCATATATTTCCACTTTATTATTAAACATATCAATTCAAAGTAAGAAAATGGATTTGGGACTTGGGAGGAAAGTCTTATTTCTGATGTCACATAAGAAATGACAATGGGGCGGGGTTGGGGTGGGGGTTCACTCCCCCATCCCTCGCCCCGTGTCTAAAAAATCGCCCCACCCCCGCCCCATCCCCCACTACTACTCGACCCGCCCCATCCCCGCGCCCCGACCCGCAAGACCCACGGGTACCCAACGGGGAAATATTCGTCAAAAACTAACACTATTTTAGACTTAGACAATTTTTCAAAAATCAAACAACACTTCTAGTATGTAGCCAAAAACCTTTTAATTTTTAAGTGTCAATGTAATCTTACATCCCATTTCAAATCTAGAACACATTATACACGTTTTGATTTAGTCATTTTATTAAACACTTTATTAGCATTGATTAGCTCTAATATTTTCTTAAGCCCTTCTTCAATCAACTATGGTCATTTGATAGCATCTAGGATGACCTATGGTCACCAAATTTTTAAGAGCCCTAACTACAATCATAAAGATGTCATTCATAAGAAAAGAATTAATGCACTATAATAGTAAAAGAAGAAAACATTCACACCGTACCTGAGGCGTTTAAGCTAATATCACTTTATAACTTCATTTACCAAATTCAATTTACTTTATATGATTTTGATAACCAATTTTACAAGATAGCTGAGTTATTAAACAAGAATTAAATAGACCCATTAGGCACAGCCCATTAGATAGGAAACAACTAAACTCACCTGGCCACCGTATTATTTTAATTACTTCGTATTAGTGATCACATATTTATGACTAAAATAAATATTGTTTACAAAAATGTGACTAGTGACTAGAGTTGTAATAAAATTATAGTAACTTATGTTCAATTTTAAACTTAGGTTACTATGACACTACAATAGTCATACTTATGTAAAATAGATTTTATATTAATAATATTTTTGTAACAAACCCTTATTATTATTAGTATTATTATTGTGATTATTATTAATTATTAATATGTTTGTGTGTGTATATATATATATGGGGAACGGGGCAGGGACGGTGCGGGGTGCATAACCCATCACCCGTCCCATATTTAAGCGGGGAGGAAATAATTCCCCATCCCCGTACCCGCCCCACCCCACCACCCGCCCCAACTCCCCCCCCCCCCACGGGGCGGTTCCCCACGGGCCCCACCCCCATTGCCATCCTTATGTGTCTATAATCAGACGTCATGTATGTACTGTCCATACTTTTGCATTGGAAATGGTCTAAAATTTGCATTACTCCTTAACATTTAACATTTAAAGTTTATGTGTTATGACTGATAAACTACGTACCACAATAAAACTTCTCCTGACGCACAAGAACTGAATTTGACTCATAGTTAGAATAAAGAAAGTATGTCAATCAAAATAATAAACTTGCAAAGTATTCCCTATTATTCCATTTTATTAATACCTTCGTCCCACTACGATTGAGACAAGAGAAGGTGACACGATTATTAAGAAAAGTGGATTTGTGTGATTGATATTAAATTGATAAAGTGAAATTAAAGTAAAAATGATTTAGAACCACACAAATTTTACTAATTCTGGTATGAGACAATCTTAGTGGAATTTTCCGAAACAGTAAAATGAGACAATCTTAGCGGGACACGGAGGGAGTATTAAAGAAAAAAAATCTGAATACTATTAATTGCATTTTGGATGTGTGTTTGTGTATAGTCCGTGTTGTGAAGCGTTGAAAAGAATGAATGGTGAGGCATAGCTCCAACCCTATTACTACACATTTTTAATTAGGAGACGGATGGATTCATTAATGCATGACTTCTTTTTTCTTTGCATTCCACCTTCTTTCTCTCAACTTTCCTCCCAAGGTTGGCTTGACTTTGACCGGATGGGAAGAAAGTCAAAATATAGAGCCGACATGAAATGTCGCCAGCAATGTTACCACTACCAAGTGGACAAACAACCTTGGCTTTTCGATCACATTTTCTTTTTATCTCCCCCACTAATGTTTTCTGCCTATAAATAACTAACTACTTGTCCAAAGAATCGTCTTAACCACCCCCACTGCCATATTCTTATCTTCTTTAAAACCCATCCTTCCTACTTCCTACAAAGGTGTCTTCTTTTTTGCTGTTATTATCAATAACTTGATTTCTTGGCAGTTTGGGAACCATTCTCGTCTTGGGATTTTCAGAGGAAGATTTTTTATATCTCGTTGAGGAGCTATGGAGTTCTCTAGTTTCGTTGATACTTCTTTGGGACTGAATGTGATGCCTATCAGAGTTCGCGAAAACGGGCCGGTATGTCAAAAAAGATCTAAACTCCTTTGGTCTTTCCTCGTAGTAATGAAACTTGTTCAGAAATTGAAATGTTGAATAATTTATCTTGATGCTATTGGGTTTCAGAAACAACAAGTCCAAAGCAATATGATTGACTTGGGAAGGAACTTTGGAAACAATGATGAGGTGCGTCTACATACATCTTTATGATTCTGGCTGGCTCAGATCTTTTGGTTTATGATTCAGAAGGAGTAATGAGATAATCTAAAAGAAATTCATGACAACAAGAAAAGTTTTTTTGCTTTAAGTCAACAAATGGGAATCAATGAAAGACCAATCAAATGGTAGTAAAGTTTGATTTTTTATTGTTGAGCAGGAAGTGGAGGCGATGCAGGAGTTGAGAAAATTGAGTGAAGAGAACAAGAGGTTGAGTGAAGTGCTGACGGTGGTGTGTGAGAACTACAATGCGTTGAGGGAGCAGGTGAGGGAGTACATGAACAAGCAAAGCAGCAGCAGCAATGGAGGTAGTAATAGCAGTGATGATCATCACAGCCATGTTGTTTTGGGATCAAGAAAGAGGAAAGCTGAAAGCAATAATCATGGTAGCAAAAAGAAAAAACAGATCAACCAGAAGATGGATGGCCATAACTCTGAGAGCAGTTCAAGTGAGGAAAACTCTGCTGCAAACAAGTCATCCCCCTCTGCAAGGGATGTGGATGTGGGCCCCCACCTCCACCCCATCAATGCCAATTCCTCCAAAGTTTATGTGAAGACAGAAGCATCAGACACCAGCCTTGTAAGTCCTCTTTCTCTAACTCAACACCATCTTTAATCCAAACACTTTACAGTATTGAATGGCCAAGGAAATGACCAGAAAGTAATTTTGTGGGTGTTCAGATTGTGAATGATGGGTATCAATGGAGGAAATATGGTCAGAAGGTAACAAGAGACAATCCTTGTCCAAGAGCTTACTTCAGATGCTCTTTTGCTCCTACCTGCCCAGTCAAGAAGAAGGTACTAAATCCTAGCTTTACAGCCATTTTGCTAAGAGATTATACTTGGCTAAAATGGTTTTATGCCCTGAATTAACTAAAATGAAAAGCATTTGGTTACATGCATTTCAACCAATTAAATTACTAGAAAGCTGCTTATTCTGCCTATAAGAAGAATAAAAGAAAACTATGCATAAAAAGGGAAAGCATATGATTATTATTATTATTATTATTATCATTAGATCTCCTTCTTGGCTGCTAGTAAGTTGAGAAAGTGAACTGAATTTGGTGATTTTCTGTTGATAGGTTCAGAGAAGCATAGAAGATCAGTCAATTTTGGTGGCAACATACGAAGGAGAGCACTATCACCACCCCCTCCCTTCAAAGCCAGCGGGTGCGGTCAGCCGTTCTTTGCCTCCCGTGGGTGGTGGCTGCGCCAGCCCCCTCAACTCCCAAGTACCAAACCTAACCGCGCCCAAAACAGCACCATATGGTGCTAAAATATCAAGCCCGGCGGAGAGGGTTATTCCAGCTGATAGACCGGAGTTTCAAAGGGTCTTGATCGAACAAATGGCCTCTTCCTTGACAAAAGACCCTGCCTTCAAAGCAGCCCTGGCAGCCGCCATTTCAGGAAAGTTTGTCCAACAAAATAGTAGCTGGTGAAGGATGTCCATATCCGTTCATAACACCAAATGAAGAAGAGCTTATGTCACTTGGTGGGTTACTTGCCATTAGCCGATTCTTAGTCAAAATTAGAAGTAGTTCGAGTGCGTATTTAGTCCTGCTTGGTGGCGAAATTTGAAACGTGCATGTATATACACTAGCAACTAGCAGTACTGTTTATCAAGGAGGGTCCGTCCACATGACTTTCGGCAAGCTAGCTAAGCTAGAGGTTGAAAGTTCAAGGCCTGAAATGCCTTTCTTTTGTACTGTAGCAGCCCTGGCAGTATTATACACGAAGTACAAGGATTCAAATTTCAAAGGAATCTGAACAACCTCTCTTCAGCTCGATTTGACTTTTTTCTTGTGTTCTGTAGTTTGAATAGTTCCTTCCTACAATGTGCATCTTTTTCAACATATATATGACCAGAGTGGCAGAAATATAGAACATTGACTTGCCAAGTAGCTATGGTATGATGCAATAAATAATTGTTAACTACTTTACCTTATTTCATTTCACTTCCAGCTCTCCTCATTTTGTCCACAAGTCATTGTTTCGGGGATCCCCCATAGCTGCTTTTGGAACGAGAATAGAGGGTGTGGATTTCCACCCCCAATGGAGTATAAATATAATTCCTTTTATTCATTCTACCTGTACTCAGATTACGAGTGAATATACCCATTTTTAGTTTTTTCACTCTATTTACGTCTTGAATTGTGAATGGCTCAAGAGACGGCTAATTCTAAGAATATTGAAATCGTGTTTAGGCAAGGGTCAAAAGTTCCTTTTATTTTAAACTGTTAAATTAATCAGTTATGAATAAATGATACGGAGTATTTTTAAATAACATATACAATCATATGTACATGATACTGAAGTTGTGGAAAAAGTAGAGATGTAAATAAGAAAAGTAATACGTAGTACTCCCTATAATTTATCGTTTGAAATGAAAAAAGTAACATTGGTCTAACTTATACGTGTGAGAATATTTTGGGAAAAGGTACTCCAATAGGAGTCCTGGTCTTTATATTTATAATAAGAAGATGTCAAAACATACTAGGAAACAAATATGCCTAATAATATTCTATTACACCCCCTCAAACTGTGCGGGAGATACAACGCACGGGTTATCTTTTGAAAAGTGAAATTGCTGACTAGAAAGACTCTTAGTAAGCATATCAGCTAACTGTAATTGAGTGGGGATGTACTTCACAACTAAGTCTCCATGAGCTACACGTTCTCGGACAAAATGATAGTCTATCTGAATGTGCTTGCTTCGAGCATGCTGAACTGGATTTGCAGTCAGATATGAAGCAGATATGTTATAACAAAATAGTTGAACGGGAGCTGTAACCGGGTAGCCAAGCTCAAACAGGACTGAACGAATATGCAATGTGTCTTCTACAGTGTAGGCAACAACTCGATACTCTGCTTCAGTAGAGGACTTGGAGACGGTGGGCTGCTTTTTGGACTTCCATGAAACGAGATTGGGCCCTAAAAACACCGCAAAACCAGTCGTGGACCGCGACGTATCAGGACAACCAGCCCAATCTAAAAATATTGTAAGTATCTAAAAATACGCTTGACTGCAAAAAGGTGAGTAGTACAAGGAGCATGCATAAACTGAGACACTAAATGCACATCATAAGTAATATCAGGTCGTGTCAAAGTTAAATATTGTAATGCACCAACCATACTTCGATACTCAGTAGCATCTGCAAGAAGTTCACCATCAGTGAGGGAGAGAGAAGTGCGAGTAGCTAATGGAGTACAAACACACTTAACAGTGTGAAGATGAAAACGAGTGAGAAGATCATACACATATTTATGCTGAGAGAGAAACAAACCTTTGGCTGATCGAGCAGCCTGGACTCCCAGAAAATAATGAAGATCACCTAGATCTTTCATAGCAAAATGTTTAGCGACAAGCTGAATAAAGGAATGAATAACGGCGGAAGAATTACCAATAATAATAATGTCATCAACATATAATAATAATAAGCAAATAACATTATTATTCTGGCGAAAAATAAATAAAGAATTATCAGACTTGTTGCACGTAAACTGATGAGATAACAGAAAACTACTAAACCTATGAAACTATGCACGCGGGGCTTGCTTAAGACCATAAATGGCTTTTCGCAATCTACATAAATGATTAGGAAACAAAGAATGAGTGAAACTCCGCGGCTGACGCATATATACCTCTTCAGTGAGGTGATCATGTAAGAATGCATTTTTGACATCAAGGTGACGAATGACCCACCCAAAAGAAATAGCTAAAGTAAGAACAGTACAAACAGTGGTGGGTTTAATGATTGGACTAAAAGTTTCTGAAAAATCTACACCTTCCTGTTGATTAAAACCTTGAGCAACCAGACGAGCTTTATGACGCTCAATAGACCCATCAGAATTAAATTTTGTCTTATAAATCCACTTAGAGCCCACAACATTTTTAGTGTGATCAAATGGGACTAGATCCCAAGTTTTATTAGAAATAAGAGCATTAAATTCATCGGCCATAGCCTGACGCCAATTTAACTGTTTATTGGTCTCAGAAAAACAAGTAGGATCAGCTGATAAAACAACAGTGTTTAAATTAAAAATGTTTTTTGGTGTAAAAATTCCAGATTTGGATCGGGTTTACATGGGATGAATGTTGACTGGAGGTGTGGGGCTAAGGGGGGGAGGATTCGATTCGCTGCCGGACTCACGGTCATACGAAACATCAGAAGAAGGCGAGTAGGGCGGCGTGGCTGAGGTCGTCTGAAGGGAGCACCTGGGCTCGGTTGTAGGTGAGTGCGGAGGGGTGTCGGGTGGTTGTGGAGTGTCTTGAGTTAAATTAGGGGTTGGCGGTGGGGAATTATGGGGCAGCCGAAGGGTGGAGGTGGAGAGTTCAGAGTTTATGGGGGCAGGTAGAGGAGCTGTGATCAATGGCAAGCTAGGAGAAGTGTTTATGAGGATGGGGTCATCAAGGAGAGTGGAAGGAGAAGATGTAGGACCCGTAGACGAAGACAATGTGGCATAAGGAAAAATATTTTCATGAAAACGAACATGTCTACTGATAAAAACTTTGCCTGACTTGGGCTCCAAACAACGATATCCTTTGTATCCAGATGCATAGCCAAGAAAAACACATTGGACAGAACGTGGAGAAAGTTTATTTGAAGAAGAGGCGGAAAAATTAGGATAACAAGCGCACCCAAAAACATGTAATAAAGCTATAATCAGGAGATCGTTGAAAAAGAATGTCATATGGAGAGACACCAAAAAGATTAGGAGTAGGAAGCCTGTTAATTATATATGCAGTAGTAAAGATAGCATCAACCCAAAAGGTGCTAGGAATAGAGGCTATGAGAAGCATAGTCCTAGCAAATTCTAAAAGATGACGATGTTTGCGTTCAGCAACACCATTTTGTTGCGGAGTATTAGGACAAGATTTTTTAAAATAGATGCCATTGTCAGAAAAAAATTGTTGCATATGAGAATTAACAAACTCACCCCCTCCCTCAAGATCCTCCCAAAATTGTTGAGTGATAGATGCATCCAATCCCACTTGTGGTGCATAGGCACTAACCACGGACACGATCTCATCCCCTATTATCAACTTAATGCTCATGATGCGATCGTTCTTCCTAAACACTTCAACCACACCGTCAACATAATCATGTGCCACCATAATGCCTACTCCATTCCTGTTCCTCTCTCTCCCCGAGTACCAAAGCTTAAAACCTCCGGGATTAATCTCGCGTGCCTTTTCTCCAACCTACTTAGTTTCTTGCATGCACATTATGCTGATATTCCTCCTCTTCATAACCTCGGCTATCTCAGATGATCTTTCCGTAAGAGAGCCAACATTCCATGTCCCAAAGCGCAATCTAACACCCTGCCTTCTCTTCTTCACCCCACATTTGAAAGATTTTAATTTTAGAATTTAATAAATTTTCAACTAAAAATTTTAAAGGAACGAAACTGAGAAAAAACTTCATTTTTAGTACGCAAGGGAAATACCCAAGTAAAGCGAGAAAAATCATCAATAAAACACACATAATATTTAAACCCTAAATTACAAAGAACAGGTGATTGCCACACATCAGAATGAATTAATTGCAAGGGTGCACAAGAAGAATGACTAGCATCCGAAAAAGGTAATCTTTGATATTTGCCCAAACGACAAGAAACACAATCATGTTCAAAATTTGAGGAACTAGAAATAAGCTTTCTACTACGCAACAGACGTAAAACAGTTTCGCCACAATGTCCTAATCTACGGTGCCACACAGGGCCAGGGGTAGTGATGGAAGCTACAACTAGAGGTGTAGTCGAACTGAGGCTGACAGGGTAGAGATGGCCATTATGCCGCGCCTGAAGAAGAATTGCCCTCGAAGTTTTGTCCTTTATAAAAAATAGTTTTTATCAAAAACAGCAACACAGTTGTTATCATCACACAAATTTTGAATGGAGATTAAATTGAATTTAATTTGAGGCACATGAAAAACAGACCGTAATGTCAACACGCGACTTAGAGTGTTTAATGTAATATTTCCAATATTAACAATGGGAAGTTTAGTACCATTCGCAACACTCACAGTCATGTAGCAAGAATAAGAGGATTTATTTGACAGAATACCTTCAGATGATGTCATGTGAGCAGAGGCACCGGAGTTCGGATACCACAAAACCTCGTTGGATTGCCCTGTAGGAGCAACCAAAGCAGGCACAGAAGACTCTGAAAAACGAGATGGACAATGCATGACAGAGTGACCTGGAGAGAAACAAATTTGACACATAACGGGAGATGGAACAGATCCAAGGATTCTCTTAGCTGATGGAAACCCTGCAAGATGAGAGTGAGCACCAAAAGAAGATTTAGGATTAATATTTAAAGTGGACATGACAGATTTACCCTGCGGAGCATTGTCGGGTCTCGGTGGAAAAGCACCCCCTGCGGCCGAATTTGGAGATGCAGCCTGATGTCCCTGCTGGTGCTGGCTGAAGGTCTGCTGCTGGTGCTGGACGAACTGAGGCTGACCGTATGGCTGCTGACCTCGGCCTCTGTCGCGGCCTCCTCTGCCTCAGCCTCCTCTGCCGCGGTATGCTAGGGAGTTTCCAGGTGGACCCTGTTGGCCGGATCCACTGTGAGCTCCAAAAGCTGGCTGAAATTGTGATGAATCCTGTTGGCGGTGAAACAAAAGACGGTGTTCCGTTTCAAGTAGCCGGTCATGAAGAATATCAGGCGGAAAGTCATCAGGAAACAAAGAGATTATCCCTACAACAGATTCATACTCCGATCCCAGCCCATATAAAGTACTTTGTAACACCTCTTTGGGAGTTACAGGAGAATTAATTGCAGTCAAAGCATCAGCCAAGTTTTTAATGTCACACAAGTAGTTTTCCATATATTGATTTTCTTTCTTTTTGATCGAATTCAGAGTACGCTTAAGTTCCATGACTCGACGTAAACTACCTGACATAAATCGATTTTGTAAACGGTCCCATATACGAGATGAATGTTTAATATCATGCACATCAGTTAATACATCACGATGAAGAGTAGCAAACAACCAAGAACGAATTGTTTGATCTACTCGAAGCCAATGATATTAACGATTTGATGATTATTAAAATTCACCGTATACATGGGAGGTACCTGAATTGTGCCATCAACGATGCTAAAAAGGCCTTGAGACACCAGAAAAGCTTCAAATTGTGTGCGCCACGTGAGATAGTCTTCAAGAACTTTAAGTTTAATGGTGATAATCGGGCTGACATTGGCGATGCCACGAGAGACGGATTGCGCCATTGAGGCGAGAGGAGAACCGAAAAGAAGAGAGTCGGCCATAGGTGTGTCGGCAAAAGTCGGTCCAAAAAACGGGGAGGATGGCTGTTGAATAGGGCGAGTGACTGCTGGAACCGAAGACCATGGAACCAAACTAAAGTCACGTGTGTTCCCACTTACATATTTGAATCCCCTAACTTTATTTCTACCGTTGCGAGTGTGAGCACATTTAAGTTTTACTTCATTGATTCTTTAGAGTCATCACTGCATTTTTCATTTTAAAAAAGTAAGTATCTGAAAACTGAATCGGTCCAACCGTCATAGGTTCACCAGTATACAGCCCGTCCAGCCGGGTCGCCAGTATACCAGCTAGGGATGGATTCGGGCCCGGTCGGGCCACCGGTTCAAGAATAGTGGGTCCGGGACCGGCCCGAGGGTTGGATGGGTCCGGTTCGGGCCAGGCCACCCGCCCGGGTCACGGGTCGGGCCACCCGCCGGGCCGGTTAAATATTTTTTTTTTTAATTTATATTTTATACTTTATAGTTTTATACAAGTACTAAAAAACAAACTTCAAGTGCATTTATTTCAAATGAAATAGGAACTACATTTGAAAATTAAATAGGAACTATAATTGTTTTTAATCGGAATCTCCGGCATAGGTAGAGCCACCCTCTGTTGTAGATTCATCCATAAAGTGTTGGGATGGAGTGATGTCAATTTCTTGAGCTCTACGTGCTGCTTTCAACCTATCGTGGTAGCATATAAGCATCTCAAGAGATTCAGCGCTCAACCTCGTTCTGGTTTGTGTTAGAACATTGCCGGCCGAACTAAATTCTTGTTCCACGGCAACCGTTGAAACCGGCATTGATAGCACTTGCTTAGCCATCTTTGCTAAAACCGGGAACATTCTTTCTTTTCCCTTCCACCAGTTTAGTACGTCAAAATCATCATCTTCTTCAAAATCAACATCATAAGTTAAATACAAATAAATCTCATTAATTGTGCTTTGTTGTGTAGCGAGAGTTGATTTTGTTTTTTTAATAAGATTGGCAAACGTAGATTTGAAAATTGATTTTCCTTTAGATGATGTTTGTGTCGGGGGAGGGGGCGCATTGCCATATTGTGCATGAAACTCATTGAATAATGCATAAAATATATCACTAACCTCGTTGTATTCTTTTTTCGGATCAATTGGGTTGTCCTCATACATTGGCAATGGACCAAAAAAAGCAGCATAATAATAATTCAAACATTCTTCTAAAGAACCAAGTCTAAAACGAGGATCGAGAACAAATGCAATACCATAAATATGCGGAATATGTGAATAATATTTTAAAAACTTTTCCTTCATAAAACCAGCAAAATAACTCACATAATCAGCATTCTCAAAATTTGAAAAAGCACCGGCGAGATTAACAGCTTCACGAATAAATTGGTTTGAGGTAGGTTTATAAACATGACTAAAAGTTTCAGTTGCATTATTAAAATATATCAAAGCATTACAATTTTTTTCACAGGTGTCGATCTCAGCCGAGTTTATAATATAGTTATCATATTGTTTCATAAAAGCAGGAAAATGTTGTTTATATCTAAGAAGAACTCCCATTAACTTATAGGTACTATTCCAACGAATAGACAAATCTTTTGGAAAAGCCACATATCTCTCACCTCTTTCTATCAAATAATCATGCCATTTTTTCCTAAGGTGTTCATTACCCCAAATACGTCTAATCCCCCCCTTGACTACCTCCAACGATGCTCCCAACGCTTTTAGACCATCTTGCACACATAAATTTAGAACATGACATGCACATCGTTGATGAAAAAATCTACCCATCAAAGAAGTAGAACCACACAATTCACGCAATCTAGGAATAGCAGCAGTATTATTAGTAGCATTATCAAAACCAATAGCAAACACCTTATCAATTAAATTATACTCAATTAAAATACGTTCAATCAAAATATAAATATGTTCAGCGGTGTGACGATCATTAAATTCACGAAAAGCATGAACACGTTTATGCATATGCCAATCATTATCAATATAATGTACAGTCAGACCCAAATAATGTAAATTATGATAAGTATCCTCCCATATGTCAGAACATACGGTAACACGTCCATCAAAGTTTGCAAAATAATTTTGTAACCTTACCTTTTCCGCACCATAAAGCCTTGAAATTTCTTTCTTAACCGTTTTGCGACTATAACCTCTATATTGCGGATTTAAACAAGTTTGTGCATAATCACGAAAAGCAAGACTTTCAGAAAACAAATAAGGCAAATTTTCTTCAACAAGTAAGTTAGCCATACCTGTCAAATTTTGTGCATCATTGTATGAGAAATTACCAAAAGCTTGTTGGTTATTTGCAAACCTCGATAATTGCGTTTGTTTCCCCGTTCCGCCGCCTAATTTTGCATACTCCACCGGGTGTTTGGACTTAAGGTGTCTTGTGGCGGATCCGTATCCGCCGGAAATCCCCAAGCTATAGTTTTTCTTGCACCAATTGCAAGTTGCGGTCCAATTCCCGGTGTTCGGGTCCTTCCACTTAGAAAAATTATTAGCCATTAATTCAGATTTACTTTTTTTGTACCTGTTTGGGATGAGGCTGCTTGGTCGGCGTCATGGCTGCCGCCACCCTCCTCCTCCTCCTCGTCGTGGCTCTCCGGAATTGCTTCCTCCACATCGTCGTCCTCGTCCTCGAGCTCTTCTTCGTCAATGGTCCTCGGTTGGTCTTGAAAAAAGCGGGAATTATGTCGGTGCAATTCTTGTTCTAGTTGTTCGTCGGTCATCGCATCCACATCCCTCCTTACGTAACCCGTATCAAAATCATCTTGACTTTGAGATGAAGAGCCGATATGTGATTTACCTTTGCGGGATCTCTTCCTCGCAAGCTCTTTCGTTCGGTTGCGCTCGAGATTACCCATATCAACCGAATATCTAGGACGATCCATCTAAAAAATGTAGCGATTAATAAAAAATTGTAAAAAACTAATTAACTATTTATCTAACTATTAATTCGAGTTATAGCAAATTAATTAGTGAATTAACTAGTTTTGTGTAAAACATATTTTTTAAACTAGAGTCAAATGTAGCAATTAATAAAAAATTGTAAAAAACTAATTAACTATTTATCTAACTATTAATTCGAGTTATAGCAAATTAAGTAGTGAATTAACTAGTTTTGTGTACAACATATTTTTTAAACTAGAGTCAAATGTAGCAATTAATAAAAAATTGTAAAAAACTAATTAACTATTAATTCGAGTTATAACAAATTAAGTAGTGAATTAACTAGTTTTGTGTACAACATATTTTTTAAACTAGAGTCAAATGTAGCAATTAATAAAAAATTGTAAAAAACTAATTAACTATTTATCTAACTATTAATTCGAGTTATAGCAAATTAAGTACTGAATTAACTAGTTTTGTGTACAACATATTTTTTAAACTAGAGTCAAATGTAGCAATTAATAAAAAATTGTAAAAAACTAATTAACTATTTATCTAACTATTAATTCGAGTTATAGCAAATTAAGTAGTGAATTAACTAGTTTTGTGTACAACATATTTTTTAAACTAGAGTCAAATGTAGCAATTAATAAAAAATTGTAAAAAACTAATTAACTATTTATCTAACTATTAATTCGAGTTATAGCAAATTAAGTAGTGAATTAACTAGTTTTGTGTACAACATATTTTTTAAACTAGAGTCAAATGTAGCAATTAATAAAAAATTGTAAAAAACTAATTAACTATTTATCTAACTATTAATTCGAGTTATAGCAAATTAAGTAGTGAATTAACTAGTTTTGTGTACAACATATTTTTTAAACTAGAGTCAAATGTAGCAATTAATAAAAAATTGTAAAAAACTAATTAACTATTTATCTAACTATTAAACAAGAGTCAAATGTAGCAAATTAACTAGTAATTAAACAAGTGTAAATAATAGAATAATTTCGTACCTCTTTCGGACTTTCGATCTTTCGGATGGGAGTAATAGAATGACTTCAAATTAATTAGATATAATTCTAACTATATTAATAGATATAATAAATATGTAAGTAATATATAATTAGATAACAAATATAAGTAATATAATACTATTTATATCTATTTATAGTTTTTATAAGTAGATAATTAATATAAACTATAAATAATAAATATAATATATTGGAGAATGGAGAATAAGAGAATTAGAGAGTAGAGAGTTAAGAATAGGATTTAGGAAGAATTGGAGAAGAGATGAAAAAATGTTTAAGATTAGGAGTATTTATAGGTTTTTTTACCCCCCACCCCCCCACCACCCCCCCACCAGCCAACCCCCCCGGACCCCCCCTTTACCCCACCCAACGGCTATATAGCCGTTTGGGTTGTCCCCAGCCCCACCCCCAACGGCTAGTAGGAGTAGTAGCCCAAACCAAAAAAAAAAAAATTAAAAAAAAATAGACCCGGGCCCGACCCGGCCGGGCCGGGTCACAATAATCCATAACCGAGCCCGCCCCGCCCCTTCCCATCGGTTCGGGTCCATACCCGGTCCCGGACCGCCCGACCGGGCCGGTCCCGGGCCCGTACAGTACCGGGCCGGGCTGGGCCGGGTCACGGGCCGGGTGGCCCGAACCGAATCCATCCCTAATACCAGCCGGTCCAATCCAGTTTTTATATCAACTTATACTCTTTAATACAATTACGAGAATATTTTAACACTCGCAAAATAACTACATTTAGAACCAGGAGCAAAACGCTTTAGAAGTTTAAACTTTCAAGGGCAAATGTAAATATGCACTTCGTTGAATGACCGAAGTTTCGAATTTAATCGAAAGGCATGGGCGTATACAACAATTTTTAAAATAATGAAATTTAACAGTTCCCAAAAATAATGAAATATTCTGAGTATTGATTGAATTTAGTAGTGGTTGCAATGTATTGACTGGTTCATCATTAATTCATCTCATGATCAACTTTTTAATGTTATATGCTAGAACAAAGTGATAGAAAACTAACTCTGATATTCTATGTCAACTCATGTTAGCCGATCTCAAACTTTTTCAGGAACAAGGCTCGGATGTTGTTGTATATGCTAGAACATTTTAAAGGTAGTAAAAACTGTACAGAGCTCAAGGAACTGAAATTAGACTGAACAAAAAATTGGAGGACTTCCAAGGGTACCTGCATATTGTTCTCTATGCAGACAAATTCTACTTTACAATCTACAAAGAAATAAATGTAGTAGTCTCATAGTCATTTGTACACATGGTCGCCTCACCCTTCAAACTGTCTCGCACAGAAGGGCGGGCACAGGAAGCTGCCCTTTTATAATAAGTGTAAATTACAATGCATCTACTTAACAAAGCATACCTATGAGGATAGGCTCAAGTCATCAATAGCCCTTACTAGTCCCATCTCAGCTTCATCCTCCAGTTGTTTTATATGAGCATCAACTTTAAGACTGTCAACTTTGTTAGTTGCATCAGCAGAAGCAGCTATACATTCCAGGAATCTGAAGCAACTGATGAGATGGTCATTTGTAATTCCTGCAGCCTGCATGAAAGAGTAGATGACGGTGGGCCCAACTCCTCGGAAACCTCTTCTGACCAGATCTTTGCTTATCATTTCAGCTTTGGATGTCTTGATCGGAACTTGTCGCTGATAGCGGTAATTACAGACCACAGGCTTGTTGTTTACGAAATCCCATATGTATTTGTTGAAGGACCCATGCTCATCAATTATCTGCATCATTTGTACAGTTTTAGAACTTCCACCATAATCAACTAATGCTTCATTAAACTGTAGAAGATTTATACTTAATTCTTCTGGAAATGATTATTCAAAGACAAGCAGATGTGCTCACTTTACAAAATTGGCGTGCATTGTCAATAACTGCCCGGAGCTTTAACTCTGACAAAAGAGAGCTGACCGGACCTCCTGGTGCCGCTATCTTCTTCTCATTTAGTTTCGAGACAGAAACAGGATCAAAATTTTGAAACACTTCCCTGCATTTGAATATAAAATTTAAGGCACTTGCATGAAACTGAAACCGAAGATGTTACAAGGCACAAGAAAAGGCAGTCCTTTTCTACTTGTCCAAATGGACACCACGAATAACCTGAATGTTTGCCTTCTGCTGAGAATGGTCGGCCATGTAAGTTCAGCTAATGCAGTGCACAAACTTAGTAGTTCAAAAAGCTTCCTGCAAATAGCAATAAAAAAATGAAGGGACTAATTGTAGACTTGTAAGCTATGCAGAAATACACTCATAAAATCATGTAACAGTTGTGTACCTATCATCATGGACAGGAACTCCCCATTCCTCATCATGAAAAGTAGAATAGGATGGATCTGCTTGAAAGGGAATACACCAATTTGTTAAATCTCCTAAACTGCGTAAATAACTATACAAAGAGTGAAACAGATCAAAGGCAAGCTGAATTATGCAAAGGGAATTCCCCAAACAAAAGATGAATACAAGACGGAAATGCGAAAAGAGAAATCTGAAACATGATGAATAACGGATACCTTTAAAAAGGTAGAACAGACAAACAACCCACATTATTTGAAGTGACAATTGAAACAGAATTTACTTTTTCACTATCCATTACAAAAAGTAAACATATAGCAATGATCTGGATTCAATCCATCCATTTATTTTAACAGTGATCTATTTGCTAATTTTCAAGATTTATTGGATAAAGTAAAACCAAAAAAATAAATGTTTCTTTGAATTTATTATAAATGCATTGGCCACGTTGTGCTGACTTGATCTTAACATCAGAGTCAAAGGTTACTTCATTGTTGCCTGCACCACCATCAACCACTTGCCGAACTGTTAGCCGTGCAGAGGGTGACATAGGTGATGACAATAAAAGACTGCATTTACCATCAATTTGATTTGAATGAAGGCAAATATTGGCTAACACAGCACCTCAGATATTCAAAGGCAACTATTGGTTTCCTCATGTGCCCACATCTGGACACTCAAGGTAGCCAATAGCCTCCTATGCTCATACACTCCAAAAAGGACGTTTGGCAATGGTGATTGTTGCATGATGAATTGCTTCCATAAATGTTTTTTAAAATATTTGCAGAACACTATTTAACTTGCAGAGAAATTTTACGGATGGATCAGATATCCATCTATAAAAAAAGTAAATGATGAATTGGATCATTTATTACAATAACGTTAATAGAAATTGCTCTAAATAGGAGCAAAAACGTTTTGAAATTCCAAAATAGGAGTATCATGTTTTTTATTCTCTGAATAGGAGTAATCTGCCAAGTTTGGAAAAAAATGCCACGTTTTAAAGCCTAGTAATGCCAAACTTGGCAGAAATTTACTCCTATTCAAGGAATAAAACATATGATAGCCCTATTTTGGAATTTCAAAACTTTTTTACTCCTATTTAGGGAATTCTCTCTAACATTAAACATAATATTAGATGGATATGATCTTTAATGGATAAGTGGATTATTTTTAATGCAAACATTATGGTTCAAGCACAAATCTATCTAAACCATCCATTTGAGAGACCTAATAATAAACAAAATTCTTCAAAGAAATGAATTCTAGAGCAAATGGTTAACAATTTATGAAGGGGTTTCTGAAGTAACAATTGAAAAGAAAGAAGAGCTTAGATTGAAACATTAAGCACCCACAACAGGTACGTACTTATTGTGAAATGAATCACAAGCATGTCATGAACCAAATATCGTATTGAATTGTTGGCCACCAAAGCATGAAAATATCCTAATAGCCATGTATTCCAGCCCCTCATCACTAAGCAGCACATTAAGTTAGTGTCATTAACAGTAAGTCAGTAATAGACAAGAAAACAAGACGTTCATCATCTTGGCTCACCAGCCTAGTTGTTCTTTCAAGTCCTCAAACATGCAGGACAAATGGGCAATGGTATAAAAGTGTAAGACTATATAAAAATGAAAAGCATTCTTCTTTCTGAAATACCTTGCTTGTCCTTACCTAAAATGCGGACAAATTTTAATTATAAATAATACTACCTCCGTCCCAAAATGATGGTCCTATATTTCCTTTTTGGGATGTCCCAAATGATGGTCACGTTTCCCTTTTTGGAAAGAAAGATGTGGTCCATATCATTTCACTTTATTATACTCAAATCTCAACCACAACTTTTACCTTTTCAATCACTTTATTAAAACTTGTGCTCAAAAGAAATGAGACCATCAAATTGGGACGGAGGGAGTACTACGTACTATGTAGTAAAGGTAGCCACATATATTTATATTGAGGATGTTTTTACTTGGACTGTTTTCAGTCCCATACCAGACTGGACCAGACTTAAACATACCAGACCGAACCAGACTTAAACAGACCAGACCAGACTTAAACAGACCAGACCAGATCACCAGAATTAAATTCCGTAGTTATAAAAATACACAGAGACAAGACTTAAAATTTAGGGCCAAACCAATTCAGACCAGACCAGACTTAAACAGACCAGACTTAAACAGACCAAACCAGACCAGACTTAAACAGACTAAACCAGACAAGACTTAAAACATCCTGGATTATAGAACATAGAAATTTAGGGCCGCTTAGCTCAAGGAAATAGGAGTGAAACTTGATTCTTGCTTTTTCAAGAAGGCCTCGTTTTGTTGAATGGTTGGAAGGGAAGGGACAGCTTTTTGTTTTAGTAATTTACCACTAAAACTTGAGTCTTGGACTAAAACGACTACATACATGTTCAGTTAGATTATGTGTTTCTATATGATTATCCATCTACACTTTCTTTCTGAACATCTAAATGTAACAATAAATTAGATTATCACCCCCAAAACTCCATCTCCTCCGAATCTCTTAATCAAACAAGTCCCAGGGAGCAGAATTGAATAGCTATTTATCAATACAAAATAGGATTAACAACTTAAAATAACGAACAATTCTGTGTATTCCTCGCCAATATGTCTCACAAACCAAATTCTTGAAACACACTGCTAAATGTATCAAACCATGCTCAAAGAGAGTGGACTTTAGGTAAAAAGTAATCAATGAACTGTTTCATAACTAATGGATCAACTTCCTTTTATAACCACACTCATAGAAGATGAATAAACATTACCAACTGCTTCAGTTTCTTTCAGTCCGATATAATTCCCAAAAACTAAAAGGAAGCATGTACATACCCGTGTTAGATGTCACCCAAGAGCATTTTTTCTTTGCTACAGAACCATCTTCTAAACTCACAGTCAAGCTCTCGGCTTCACTGGCAACTTTACCATTATTCTCCAATTTTGAGCTGCATTGCTTCTTCCGAGCTGATGAAAGGTTCACACTCCGACTACTAATTTTCCCAGTTGAAGCTCTGCTCTGAGAAGAATCAGAGGATGCATCGGATGAGCAAGAAGCACTCATCCACAGATTTGACCTCATCCGAAACGACCTGTGCTCCTGGTGCTGCCTCAGAATTGAACCAGCACTCGCGCATTTCTTAGCTGCAGACCGTGATTTGGGCAGCTGATCCGCCTCGGCCTGCATTGCCTGGGACTTATCGTCAACGCTCTCCGCTGGCTTCTCCACCGTGATGGCATTCAACTTCTCGGCGGGCTTCCGCAATTCCTCTGATCTCGCCTTGTTGCCAGCGGGACCAAGAACGGACCGGATCTCCGAATCGGCGGCATGGCTCGTGTATTTTACCAGCGGGGGCCCCGACATTAACTAAACAGGCCCGGACCCACTTCGATTCGGGATAAAGTAGGGCTTTTATGGCTGGAGTAAAGGGAAGGCAAAGAGAGTGAGGACGCGGAAGGGAAGGTGCATTCTGAATTTTATGGTGAGAAGTGTAGAGGATCCAAACCCTAGAAGGTTCAAAATCTGCAAAGTGATGTTGAAGACTTGAAACTGAGTTAGTTTCGTTGACAGTAGTGAAGCAGGAAGCTGACGGTCTAACTGTAGGGGCCCTTCTCTGTACAATGTGTGGGTAGGAAACAAATACGTACCCGTATTTTGCAGACCACTTCCTGCTTAGCTTCTACGGCTGTGGCAAAGTATAACATACAATCCGTTCTACCGTGCACACTCAGCTATTTTATTTATAAATGAAATGAGTATAATATTCAAAAAAATGCAATGTTTATATTAAATTCTAAAGTTAGCATAATAAATATTTTGTTGATAATATAACAATAATATAGTTAAGGGAAAAATAATTTAAATGCCCCGAATTTTAATGTGATATGAGATAAGTACATCAAACTTGCATATGTAATATATATACTCTGAACTTCATGTAAAATGTTATTTTTGCACCAGATTGTATTTTTTTACAAATACCTACTTACATGTGTCGATAGAGTCACTATACGTGTCGATAAAGTCACTATACGGAGAAAAAGTCTCACTAACACATGCAAAGCATTATGAAGCCGGGTTGGAGTCGCTATACGAGATGACGCAGTCTCTGTATGTGTTAGCGTAATGGTACTAAGTTAATAATAATTAATGGAGTTACCAATAGACATTATGAAGTCACTGAAATTTAAATTATTTGTTTCGTGGTCACTAAAGGCTACAATGATGGTTAGAAGGCGTTGTTTAATTATTAATTGTGAAAATGGAATACCATGATAATAAATGTACTATTAAATAAGAGCATGAAAATATGATACATCAAAATTTTAGAAAACTTAAGAACATGTCACATTTTTGTCTTTGTATCTATTTTAGAGCCCGTTTGGTATCCATGTTTTCCGACTTAGAGGGCTTATCCACCAATTTTTTCACCAAACAAGTAACTTTTAACTTCACACACTAAATTGTGTAAAACAAAGTAAGAAAAAGTAAGGTTGAAGTTACTTTTCTGACTATATTGACTAAAGTTACTGTAAATGTTAATTTTAGCTATTTTCCATATAACTTTTTCTTTATTTTATTACTGCCTCCGTAATATTTATATCTTCTCATTTAAAAGTATGTGAAATTCAAAATAGCCAAAGAGAGTATAAATTATTGAGGATATGATGGGAAGATAGGAATGTTACGGTCGAAAACGGACAGTAGGAAGATATGAATGTTACAAAGGAAGTAACAAAACATATTTAAGTATAATTTTTCATAAACTAACAAAATCAATCAAATTTGCTATTTTGTAGAGAACTTCGTAAAATGTGCATAGAAAATTATTAAGAAAAATCTATGGTATCTTCTGTTGGAAAAATGTGTTAAAAATTGCATTAAATGGTCATTTTGGGGCAATTATTTGAGTGGGGTCCACTTCCGATTTGGGTCGGGTCAAAGTGGTTTCGGATTGTCCTTGTTAAGGGCTACAATTCAATATATGGTGGATTCGAAGACGGTCTTGAGTCAAGTTGAGGAAATGCAAATGATCTTCAACGAAATTCGAGATGAAGGAATGACAGTTAGTGAGTCTTTCCAAGTGGCGTCAATTATCCATTTATTGTCGCCAGCTTGGAAGGATTTCAAGAACTACCTTAAGCACAAGCGAAAGGAAATGAACTTGGAGCAATTGATCCTCCGTCTACGGATTGAAGAGGATAACCGGAAGAACGATGGGAAACTCCCAAATGTTCATGGCGCCAAGGCAAACGTGGTGGAGCATGCAAAAGGCTCCAAAACCAAGAATAATGGGAAGAGCAAGCTCGGTCCCAAGGGAGGTGTTTCCGAGACAAAGTTCAATGGAAAATGCTTCATTTGCAACAAGAATGGACACACGTCCTCGGATTGCAAGGCACCACGGAAGAAGAAAGAGTCCCAAGTCAACTTGGTGCAAGGTGGGCAAAAGGATGAAGACATCATGTTAGCGGTTGTGGTTACGGAAGTCAACCTCGTTGAATCCAATTCCAAGGAGTGGTTTGTGGACACCGGTGCAACCTGTCATATTTGCTCAAACCGGGAGTTATTCACAACTTTTGAGCCATCAAATGGTGAGAAAGTGTGGATGGGTAACTCGGCTCATTCCGCGGTTGAAGGCGTGGGCAAGGTGGTCCTGAAGATGACTTCGGGCAAAGAGCTGACTCTCAACCAAGTGCTGTTTGTTCCGAAAATACGCAAAAACCTGATTTCCGGCTCGTTGTTGAACAAGCATGGCTTCCGCATGGTTTTTGAGTCGAACAAACTAGTTTTGTCTAAATCGGGAATGTATGTGGGCAAGGGATATGCAGTTGATGGGATGTTTAAGCTCAATGTAATGAATATTAATAATAATAATAATAATAATAATAATAATAATAATAAAATCCCTTCTGCTTACTTGCTTGAGTCTTCCAATGTGTGGCATGGTAGACTAGGACATGTTAATTTTAATTCTATACGTAGATTAATTAACATGGAACACATTCCTAAATTCACAATTGATGTGAAGCACAAATGTGGAGTTTGTGTAGAGGCAAAATTAGCGAAAACGTCTTTCAAATCAGTTGAAAGAAAAACGGAACCACTTGAATTAATTCATAGTGACGTTTGTGATTTCAAATCAATACAAACACGTGGCGGTAATAAATATTTTATTACCTTTATCGATGATATCACTCGCTATAGCTACGTTTATTTATTAAAAAATAAACACGAAGCAATCGATAAATTCATTCTTTATAAGAATGAAGTGGAAAACCAACTTAATCGACGGATTAAGACGGTTAGGAGTGATCGAGGTGGTGAGTATGAAGCACCAATTGGTGACTTTTGCGCTAGTGTGGGTATAGTACACGAACGTACCGCACCCTATTCACCTCAATCAAACGGTGTTGCCGAACGAAAGAATCGCACATTGAAAGATATGATGAACGCGATGCTAGTAAGTTCGGGCTTGCCACAAAATATGTGGGGCGAAGCAATCTTGACAAGCAATTACCTTTTAAATAAGGTTCCCCGGAAAAAATATGATAAAACTCTGTACGAGTTGTGGAAAGGCAGACGGCCTTCCTATCAATATTTAAAAGTGTGGGGGTGCCTTGCTAAGGTGCTTGTACCAGAACCTAAGAAAATAAAAATAGGTCCAAAAACGGTGGATTGTATTTTTATTGGATATGCACAAAATAGTAGTGCTTATCGGTTTTTAGTGTACGATTCGAATAATCCGGATGTACATAAAAACACAATAATTGAATCAAGGAATGCTTCATTCTTTGAAGATGTATTTCCATGCAAGTCCAACGAAGGGCCTAGCACGTCAAAACGAACATTTGACGTAGCTATGGAAAATACTAGTGAGGGATCTGGAGAAGAACCCGAACCCAGACGTAGCAAACGTGCTAGAATTGAAAAATCCTTCGGACCGGATTTTCTCACCTACCTGGTAGAATTTGACTCGGATATTCTAACATGTATAGTAGAAAATGAATCGGATTTTCTAACATGTTTGGTAGAAAATGAGCCACGGACTTATACGGAAGCCGTGACGTCTACCGAAGGTCCAATGTGGAAAGAAGCCATCAAAAGTGAGGTGGATTCTATCCTTAAAAATCACACATGGGAATTGGTTGATCTTCCTCCGGGAAATAAACCTTTGGGATCCAAGTGATTTTTAAACGGAAAATGAAACCTGACGGTTCCATCGATAAGTATAAGGCCAGACTTGTAATCAAAGGATACAAGCAACGTGAGGACCATGATTACTTTGACACGTATTCTCCTGTGACGAGAATAAATTCCATTAGGATGATACTAGCAATTGCCGCATTCCGGAAATTGGAAGTTCATCAAATGGACGTAAAAACCGCTTTTCTAAATGGCGATATAGACGAAGAAATCTATATGGAACAGCCCGGAGGCTTTCGTGTTCCTGACCAAGAAAGGAAAGTGTGTAAATTAATTAAATCATTGTATGGATTGAAACAAGCCCCTAAACAGTGGCACGAAAAGTTCGATCATGCAATGTTAATTAACGGGTTTAAAATAAACGAAAGTGACAAATGCGTCTATGTGAAGAGCACGGTAGACGGCTATGTCATTTTATGTTTATACGTGGATGATATACTCATCGTGGGTAGCAATAATCTAATGATTAATTCTACCAAAAGCATGTTAAATTCTAAATTTGACATGAAGGATATGGGGCTGGCCGATTTAATCCTTGGGATTAAAATAATTAGAGGACCTGACGGTCTTACGCTAAGCCAATCCCATTACGTTGATAAAATCCTTACGAAATTTAATAAGGATGATTATCAAGAGGCAAGGACTCCATTAGATAAAAATGTACAACTTACCAAAAATCGTGGAGAGTGTATTTCTCAAGTAGAATACGCTAGGATTATTGGAAGTTTGATGTATCTAATGAGTTGTACCAGGCCTGATATTGCCTTTGCGGTTAGCAAGTTGAGTAGATATACTAGCAACCCCGGTGATGAACACTGGAAGGTAATAGTAAGGGTTTTGAGGTATTCACGTAAAACCCAAAACCTTGGACTGCACTATGGAAGATATTCAGCTGTACTTGAAGGGTATAGCGACGCTAGTTGGATATCCGACATTAAGGACTCAAAGTCCACACGTGGATATGTTTTCACTTTGGGAGGTGCAGCCGTGTCATGGAAATCCTCAAAACAAATGTTAATAGCTAGATCCACGATGGAGTCTGAGCTAATAACCTTGGATAAGTGCACTGAAGAGGCTGAATGGCTACGCCATTTTCTCGAGGATATTCCAAGTTGGGAAAAGCCTGTCCCTCCAATATGCATACATTGCGATTGTCAAGCGGCAATTGGAAGGGTACAGAGCAATATGTACAATGGTAAGTCTAGACACGTTCGTCGTAGACATAACACCATTAAACAACTCCTCACAACGGGTGTTATCATTGTTGACTACGTGAAGTCAAAGGATAACATAGCGGATCCGCTAATCAAGGCATTGGATAGAGAAGTGTTGGAGAAGTTGTCACGAGGAATGAGATTAAAGCCCGTGAATTGAAAAGTTCTATAGTGGATACCCAACCTAGTTGGTCCTATGTTCAAAAGGGACAACTAAATTATAGAGCGAAGGATGGTCACTGTGGGGGTCCTGGACTCCTACCCACTCCTCGTTAAAACAGTGAC